TTCATTGCAGTGCCACTGTGGATCTCGAAACACCTGCATGTTACTGCTGAGACACAGTCAGTGCCTCCCTGGGAGGACCCTGGGTCAGCCTGGCTCAAGAGGCACAGAGCTCATGAGCCCAGTGCTGCTCATCCCTTTGTAGATGGCATTTTGTAAGGGACAGTGAGGTTTTATAGCCCTCTGGCCATGCTGAGCTCACAGCAGGGGAGCATCCCCTGGTAAAAAGGGCTTGCCTCATATTACTGAGGAAATTTCCCCTGTGTTCTCTTTCCATGAAGGTGAGAACAACTTTAAGACTTAGATTTTTGCTTCAGATGCAATTGATTGTTTTTTGCCTACTTCTGTGAGCAGTAGTATCTTAGAGGGAGCTGGGAAACTATCTTTGCTCAAAATCAAGACGTGGAACCATCAGCTTTCTGCAGAGAACTGCAGGAGGCTCAAACTCCTGCAGAGCAGGTGGCTGAGGATGGACAGGGGAGTCCCTGCCTGTCAGGGAGGGACGCTGCTGCCAGGAGAGAAGCTGTGACTGCTGACTGCCAGGCCTTACTGATTTGGGGCATGTCAGGAGCCCAAAACCTGTGTTCCTCTCAGAGCTGTGATATTCTTAATCCACTGCTTGGCAGTATCTTGTTTCAGAGACAGATAGGAGTGGGCTGCCTCCTACTGAAGCTTCCTCAGTTTGATCAGGGAGACTTCATTGTTCTCTCCAGCTACCTGGAAGGAGGTTCAAGTGAGATGGGAGTTGGTCTCTTCTCCCTGGTAACAAGTGAAAGGACAAAAGGAAATGGCCACAAGATGTGCCAGGGGAGGTTTAGATTGTGTATTTGTGAAAATGTATTCACTATAAGGATTGTCAAGCACTGGAACAGGCTGCCAGGAAAGTGTTGGAGTCACCATCCCTGGCGGTATTTAGGAGACATTTAGTTGTGACACTTAGTGACATGGTTTAGTGGTGGACTTGGTAGTGCTGGGTTAGTGACTGGACTTGTTGATTTTAAAGGTCACTTCGAACCTAAATGATTCTGTAACTATTATGTTGTAGTGATTATCACTACAGCCAGTGGTGGTGAGTTGACTGTGACTGACAACTAAGTTCCACAGTGAGAAAAAAGCTCATGGCCTGAGGTAAAGCCAGTTTAATAAGTGAGGAAAACCAAAACAAGCCACAAAAAAAGAAAAATTCAAGTAATACCAAGTGAACCACTTGTCCAGTACAGCAGTTTAGTACCAGTTGCAGTGACTGCTGGAACTGATATGATTTTGCTTTACCTCCAGTTGTTGGCAAAGAGAATTCCCTTCTCCAGAAGTCTCCCCACTGTCACTGCATTTGCTTCCACAGGCACTGTGCTCAGACTTGCACGGGCATGTGAGTTTTACTATAGAGGTTGCTCCTGTTAAGAAGTTGTAGCCAGAGCTCCCCCAGTTGTTTGTAGAACAAGGAGATACTGTGTTTGTAAGATCACAACTATCAGCCCTGTTTTACGATTTTTATGAGCATTAATGGAACAAGGTTTGGGGACTGAAGGAGAAAATGGAATATGAAAAGGAAAATGAAAAGAGGCTGTGAGGAAAGCATGTCATTTCTAAATGAATGCTCTGTGCAGAGGAATTGAATCTTTTCACAGCTGAAAATGGATCTTAAATCTGATGCCTTAGCTTGTTTCAGCTTCTCTAATGAAATAGAGTTTTCCTAATACCCTGTGACCTGAATTTCTCCCTGCTTTATGGGTGCTATTCCTTGACGTACAAACCTGTATTTTCTCAAGTCAGCATTTGATGATGGATGTCAAAATACAGGTCATGTATTATGCATATAGCATTACCGATTTAAGGTGTTTACTTGTCAAGTTGAAGAAATTCAAAAATGTCACATTCACTGAATCTGCACAGCTGTCACTTGTAGTTTTTCATGCCTTTAAATGAAAGTTCTGATAAAGCAGGTTAGTTTCCTGCACTTTTTTTTTTTTTTCGTTTTCTCTTCTGGAGGAAAAAAATAGACAGCCTGTGTATGGAAATTAGTTTGTGACTTGGGAGCAGAAATGTGTCTTGAAGGTGTTTGATAGCTTGTGACTCCAAACATAAGCACACAAAATCCCCAAATATTTCCTTTTCCTGAAAATACTCCACTATTTTTATATTTCTTAAAAGTAAATTTCTAGAAGTGTCTGAATTAAGTATGAGCAAGGAAATTAAATTATCAGATACTTCTCACGTCTTTCAAGACAGTAGGATGAAAAATATTACGGCATGAGTCTATTTTTCATTCAAGGAGAAAACACAATCCCTTTAACATGCTTCCTGCATTTCAGACTGAATGCACTGTGTGTGCAGTGTGCAATTACAGAGCTTCTGACAGTCTGTGTCTAACAAAAATGCCACATTTACTTCAATCTTCTGACACCATCCCAGGAAGACAAATATTCTAAGGGTTAGAGAGGTAGCTACAAATGGCCTTCGATGGAGAGCGTGCGTGTCTCTGTGTATGTGCACGTTGCAGTGAAGGGGAGGCAAGAAGAACTTGCACATTTAGCTGAGTTACACTAGCTTATTTCAATTTGCTTGTAACTGGTAGGAAAATACTGCTGTGCTCCTACCACCTGAAGGGCCTGAAGGTGGTTAAGGAAGTGCATCCTGAGATGTGGGGGGAAAGGCTTCAGGAAAAAAGGGAGAAGCAGAGTCTTCAGGGATACTCTGAGCAGTGCAATCCCTGGAGTGCATGAGAACAATATTAGTTTTGTTTGCTTTTATATAAGTAAGAATGAAAAGTCATCATGTTGCCATTTTGACTTGTAATTCAGCAGGGGACCCAACTGAGCCTGCCACCTTACCTGCTCAAGGAATCTGCAGCTACCTGAGCTTTTTCTAATATGACAAAGGCTGTATCCTGCATCTCCTAAAAGAATATATTCCATAATAGAATACAAGACACTGGATACTGCGGCAGAAGGAGGTGTCACACTAATACTCACCTGTCCTCAGATAGCATGTCCTCCCCTTGGAGTGCCACTTTAATTTTTCTGCTGTTGTGAGAGTGTCAGTGTTACCTTAACTTACAATGTGGTGACTGAAAGACCTCTGTCAGACTCTGTGAGCCTGAGGAATCTCAGGCTCTGCCATGAAGAGGTAAACATTCAAAGAGCCAAAACAGCTCTCAGTCATAGTGCCAGATACAAGGAAACATCTGCAAACCGAAACTGGCTGGGACTGCAACTCACTGTCACAAAGCTGGTCTTCCTGAGTTCAGCACCACAGGTGGTGTTACATGGCTGACTGCTAACATTTCCAATTGCCTCTAAGAAATCTGCTTTATAAAGATTTTCTATCCACTGGTAATATTATATAGAATTGCTCTCCTGACTTAGATTTCTCTATGACAATGTTTTTGTCATTGAAGATATCATATCCACTTCTTTTCTCCTGAGGAATTTCTTCACAGGCTTTTCACTCTCTTTTTAAGCTATCTTGTTTGTACAATCACCATGTAGCATCTAGTTTTCTTGTGACAGTCAGAATGAAATTCATACCAGTACCTTCTGCAGAGCTAGGAAAGTCTCTTCCCAGTGATTCTAGTTTTATTACCTGTATATTCTCTATGTGATACAGACAAAACATAAAGATAGATGAATGGAAGGAGAAAATTAAATCACGTGAAATCAAGGAGCCCAGATCTAGTGGTCCTTGTAGTTTAGGGGCAGTCTAAGAGTGATGTAATTATCACTGGAAAAGAACTATAAGTCCTAAAGATAATATAAAACCAGTATGATGTGCTGGCAACTACAATTTAGTTTAGAGATTTCCTGGTTTATAAATTGGTCCCCAAACAGAAGAAAGGTAAGGTATCATACCATTTTCCTCTGAATTCAGTACCAGGTGGATGTATCAATGAATTTAATGGAGCAAAACAACTTCCACACTGCAAGAGGATAGTGAATTTAAGTCAGGAATGAATTTGGCTGTGATTAGTTGAGAATAAGTGTATGGAGAATTCAGCACTAGTGACAAAGGACCAAAAGTCTGTCACCGGGATGTCAGGTGTGAAGTCAAATAACTTGGGAAAAATAAGGCAAAAAAAATGGAATGTCTTTTTTTTTAAAGTGTGGTTTAAAGTAAGCTTGGCTCAATTTTATTCCTAGCAGACAAATATTTGTTTAAAAATGCTGCCGTGATATTGGTCTATATGAAATCATAAAGTCACTTTGTAGCTTTACCATCACTTCTGCAATGGCATTAAGTGAGCATTCCCATGTTTTCTATAGATTTACTGGACAAAGGGGATGGAATGCATTAGTCTCAGTGGTGAATTTCCAGTCCTGCTATTGCATGGGCTTTTGTATAACTACCCATTTTTTTCAGTACTTAGAACCAAACTCCAAAAGGTTTTGCTTGGGTATTATTTGTTTGAAGAAGAAGGGAAAAAAAAAGATAAAAACCACTCCTCAATGTCAAGAGCTCAATTTCAAACTCTACAGAATCTGGCTGAAAACAGTCTTTTTTAAGGGTGAATGTTGCTGGTCTCCAGATTTTTTTTTTTCTGTGAGTGCCTTCCAACATGTTTCTTCTCCCACCTTTGTTTCCTTCAAATTGTCACTCTTTCCAGTTCTTTTCAAGCAGTCCTCTCACATAGCATTTGAAAACCTGTGTCTTTTTCCTTTCATCCTATATTTTTGTCTTGTAGAGTGGACCCTTCCATCCCAGTATTCCTACAATTGTAGTCCTCATAGAAATGCATATTATAAATGGTACACAGAAATTACAAAAATTACAAAAACCCTATCGTGTGGGTGGTAGCGCTCTTGGAAGACAGATAATTTTAAATCTTGATTTCTGATAAAACCTGGAACGGACTAATGGAAGCAGTTTGTTCCTCATGGTTGTATTACCATTTACAAACAGTGCTCTTTAAAATGTTAATTGCTGTTTAAGGAAAGGTGTTTGCTTTGGAATTCTTTTACTTTTTGTGTAGTTTGTCCTCTGTAAATTTATTTTTTTTTTTCTTTTAGGCTTTACACCTCCTGGGATGGATAGGACATCTCCAGACAATAGTCCAGTCCATGGCCTTTTACGTCAACCCTCCATTACAACAGGAGCCAACATCCCTATTATAACAGAGCTAGGTAAGAAAAGCTAAAATTTGTCCTTCCGTATACATTCCTATGTCTTTTTCCCACTTTCCTTGTTATACAGATACAGAAAAATTACCCATACTGGATCTTACACTGTTACATTTTCTCTTTTGATAACTGTTTTAAATTACTCTCTCCAAAGAAAGTTTAGTAACAGTTGGTTCACTTTATTTGAATAACTAAAATATATTTCCCTCCTTTGGGTTTTCTCCATTTTCTTAAATAAATATTCTATCAGACAAGATGCTTTTTGCATAGTGTAACAAACAAGCAGGGGTCTTTGGGCTAAGGTTAGAAAAGGAAAAAGGCCAGAGTAAGTATAAGCAGATATTTCCTGTGCATTTAATCAATTGTAAGAGGCCATTTGTTTATTTCTTCATGGTCCAAAAACTATTTAATCATGTGTAACCAAACTCTGTATAATAGTATGAGATATTTCACTCCTGAGAATATGATGATGGTAGGTAACTAGACTCTGATTTCCACTCTAGCTGTGGGTATTTTTGTTGTCAAGCGGTGTGATGTGAAGTGCAGAAGCTGTTCTGTTTTTTTCATGGCAAATACAAACTTGATTTGTGGTCCTTTGTCCTTCTGTTTTCTTTTTCAGTTTTATTTTTTAGAGCCTTACCTGTCTTTTTCCCTTACTTTATTCTCTTTCTGTACTTTCTTTTCCCCCTAAATACTTTACTTACTAGCTAAGCCTGGCAAACTTCTGCCTTTGGTTTCAATCAGTCAGGAAAAAAACAGTGGAACCCACATTCTAATGATAACTGAACTGGGTAAGAAGTGCCTTTTTCCTTCACATCACTGTGTTATTTTCTGTTGTTGTTCTTACTGTCATCAGCTTTTCCTTTATTTATCTGGCTGTATCAGAGGGGCTACCCTCATGGCACTGCTTTGAATGTGTTTTATTTGTGGTTCTGGTTGAAATTGACTGTCTTGTTCTGGTCTTCTTAATGATTTTTTACGCAGCATCAGTAAACCTTTGATCACACTCGTCTGACCTGCCGGCTGTTTTCATAGCACCCTCTCACCAATTCATTTTTTTTGGCCTAAGTCCCCACCTCCCTGGCCTTCACTCTCCTACACCAATTTTTCTCTCCTTTTCTCTCTTCTTTCTCTTTCTTTTTGTTACTTCAGCCTGTTGTCAATTTGGTGGACATGCCTTAGCAGCTTTTCACAGGAAGTCCAAGAAGAAGTAAAAGATACCAGAAAAACCCCAAGCATCATACTTTCCCTCAGGCTGTTTTTTTTTTTTTTGTTTATTTTGTAGAATAAGGCTTTTTCTCAGAAGCTCAGGTTTTGAAGCTGTAGAGGAGCAGCCAAGCTCCTGCATGGTTCCCTCTCAACACAGTGCTCTCACCAGCCTTTGGAGCAGCGTTTGATGAGCCTTTCCCTATGGCACAGCACCACCTGTTTGCACCCAGCTCTCCTGGCCCACAAATCCCACTGTGCTACCTTGCATCAGGAAGATAAAGATACTGAGGATAAACACACACCTGCAGAATTCATGAGAGGTTTTTAGTAGCTCAGGAGCTGACCCCACGCTTGGCTAGCACGGTGTCTAAGTCAGGTGTTAGTCTGCCAGATGGAGGTGGAAAATGAGCGCCACTGTGTATAGTGCCTTCTCTCAACTAGCAAATTAAACTGAGGTACAAGCTGTTCACAAAGTACAAAGTACATTTTGATACAGCAGGCTTTCAAATACTATATTGCTTAAGAATCTGGAGATAAAATTGAGAGGTGTTGTACTAAAAAAAGAAGTATTGTGATCCTGGTGTTTTCTTGGATTGATGTCTTCTGATTCCCAGGGCAGAACATTTATCTTATTACAGTACTAGGGTGTTATGTTTTAACAATTACATCAGGGAGTGCAAAGGCAAGAATTTTAAATTCCATCCTCATCTCATTTAAACAGCTATCTTGAGGCTTTATCTGCAGTAATTCTTGTTTTTTAAGTTAAACATAGTAAGCACAGTAGAATAGAGAGTTTGGAAAAGAAGTCAATGTACAAGAAAACTATATGGGAAGGATTGAAATTGCATGAGAAGGAAGATCAGAATAGCAGGCAGAAAAATTTCTGACTTTAGAAGTCCAGAGCTGATATTTGATCAAGTTAACAGCAGTTCTCATGTTATTTTCAAAGTTTGCTGGGTTGGCTCAGGAGATGTGTTCACATGGGGAATAGGGATATCATCAGTGTGTGCAGTTTCAAATGCTCAGAAAGTTTTTCATTTCCCTTTCTTGCATGGGAACTGAAATTAATTTGTCATTTAGTAAGTTGAAGGGTATTTCAATGGCATAGCTAAGCAGTCTGTGCTTTCATGCCTGAGGGAGACTAATATGGAAATGAAATATTTCATGAAATATGATCCACTTGATACACTGATCTCAAGGAAACAACTATTTTTAGTTGGAATGAGTTGGAGGCAGAGGGCTTAACTGTGACAATGAAATGCCAGAGAAAGTCAAAATGACAAATACTACTTTATTTGGGCTTTTCTCTGATTTAGATTCTTTTTCACACTGGCTAATGTAGAATTCGTGGCTGAGAAAGTGAAGTTATAGAGACAAATATTTGAACAAAAGGCAGTGCTGCAAGAGAACTGCTCATTCATTCAGATAGATGCATGTTAAAGGGACAGTTTATTCTCTTTTGAGCCCTAAGTGCATTAACACCACTCCAGTTAGAATCACAGCAGCACATCTAACAGATGCCTGTGGGCTATATCAGAATTTCATTGACAGCCTCTATTTTACAATGGGGTTCTAACTTTGTATCTTGTGATAGCATTTCACATTAACTGTTCATGCATACAACCTCAGCCACTGTACCCCACCAATATACCAAGATTGTCTCAATATACAAGTTTATAATATATCTCATTTTGAGCACAGGCAACTGGTGACACGAAGCTGCTTTACAGGAAAGGGATAGGAACCTGTCAAGAGCAAGAGTGTCACCTCTTACGAGCAAGATAACAAGCAACAGATTTTTAAATGCACATTTTCACATCCATCTTGATTTCATTTTCAGTGACGTCAAAGACACAAGTCTGTGTTTCCAGACATATGCCGTTTCTTTTTCTTTGGCTGTGTGATGTGTAAGGTCACATGCTGGTGACCCAGAAACACCTTTCAATTTCACTCTTAATGTTATTATTGTTATTTTCAGTAAATGATTCAAATGTTCAGTTCTTGGACCAAGATGATGATGATGACCCCGACACAGAACTGTATCTCACGCAGCCTTTTGCTTGTGGAACCGCATTTGCTGTCAGCGTGCTGGACTCTCTCATGAGCGCGGTAAGCAAACGAATCCTTTTCATTCCCTTCTGTCAGACTTGCTGTGAAAGAGTGTGAAGGTGTAGAATCTTTTCCCAAGGTAGGCAGGAGAAGATGCTTTTTTTCTTAGGTGTCAAGAGAATTTCAGAACCTAAGCCAGGTTATTTTCTTAGTTGGACACGGAGACTATAACTGAGATATCTAGGACTGTCATGTGTCCACAATTTTGTAAGGAAACAGTCTCATGTCAGGTTTTAAGGTTCATGCTTTCAAAAAAAAATTGTCCCTTCTGCCTAAAATCCAGACTCAAATGCAGTGTGTCAGTCCCTGTGCTCACCATTCTTGTCAGACAACATCAACTGTGTCTTGAGCTTTTAATTTCCTGTAGCTATGAGCAATGCTCTGAGTATGAGTGCTGGGGGACACTGATAGGACTCCATGAAAGCCATTGTACACATCTCATGAACTCTGTTTGTGTGAAGAGAGGTTATCCTCTTTTTCATATGAATTTTCTTATTAATCAGAACTTCAGTGAATGCCAGAAACTACAGATGGTGGCCTTTGGTTATGTCTGCACTGGGGCTTTTGTTTTGCAGGCATAGCACAGTTCTGAAGCAAACCCCTCGGTCATGCTCCTTTTCATCCTCCTCATATTGGCTAAGTTCTCAGACCAGTCTTTCTCTGTGTGAGCTACACTTCATTCAGAGGGACCTTAAACTCTGCTGATATAGCAAGGACACAGTTAGTTTAAAATCTGAGCATGGGCTTTCTGAGCTCACCATGGAACAATGTTCCATTGTGCTGGGAAAGATCTGTTGTAGAACCCAAGTAACACTCTATATGAGCAGATGGGTTTCTCTAAAGGAGACAAGCCTGACCTTTACCTGAACTCAGAATGAAACTTTTTGCTTTTAAGAAGAATTCATAGTGATCTTTAGGATTTATTATTTTATTTTATTTCATATTTATGTACCTGTATTTTGCAGTTTTCACTGCTATATTTTCCATATGTTCTATCCACAGATAAATGAGTCTACACAGATAAAATTTTATTCTAATACCCTAGAAGTTTTCAATAACCTCAGACAATGCTTTTCATGAAAGCTATTTACAATATTTTGTAGATGTGACAAATTCAGAAAACCTATTCAAGGACTCCTAAACTTTGTACCTTCTCTAATTAAAACCTCTATCTATAAATTTTGCATATTCACTTTATAAATGGGAATAATTTATCATGAAGGTTCCAAACGTTACTTAGAGCTATTTATCTACTCCCATTATTATCTAAGTCAATGTCTCTGAATGTATTGTTCAGTAGGGAACTTCAGAATCAAGAAAAAAGTAGGGTTAATCCTTCTGGCTACCATAGAAAGAGTGAGATACTGTGGACATCATTGCTTCCTTGTGAAAAAGTGTCTCAAGTAAATAATACTGATGCAATGAAAAATAGGTACAACATGCCTGTTCAGAAATTCTAATGTTTTTCATTATTGCTAGCTTTTATTAACTCTTAGTTTTGGACAACATGCCCCTCTGTTTTTGCAGTTCCATTCTAAAGTCCTTTTCCTAAACATTTTCATGTCCAAGTGGTCATATTATGTGTCAGGGACAGTGCAACCTGAAGCCAGAGAAATGTGATAACAGGAGTAGAAAATTCTCTACTTAAAAAAATAATAATCATGAAGAAAGGCAAGGATTCAGTCAGTTAGAATTGTTCACTATCCTGTCTTTTCTTTCACCAGCTTTCTGATCAGTGGCAGTACTATTTTCTCTTTATTCCTCTAAGGCCCAGCAAGGAATTGGAAAAGTACAATTCTTCCTGACCATCTAGAAAGTGTAAAATGTGTGACATGTATTCCTTTACTATCCGTATTCTCATGGAGAAGACTTTTACTTCTTCTCCAAGGAAAAGAGTGTTTGTCACACAAACTAATCTGTTTTCACTATATTAATTTTTACCTTTATTTTCTTTTTTTCCTAAAGTACATTTGCTTTTAGCAAACAGCTTCTATTTAATGAGTCTAACTTCATACCTGCCAGCATGGGAAACTGAACCCCAAATCCTAGCTAAATTGTGGGATCTGTAGTCATGCTTTCATTCTATTAATTGCACAGGAATTCTGTAAGAAGTATATAATGTTCACTCTGCTGTCTTTTGCCAGCTCACTTGGAGACAAGTATATAGTTCATTATTCTATCTATTTAGTGATTCAGTTGGTTTTACTGCTTATTTTTGATAGAAAAATTCCAACTTATAATCTCTGTTGATATATCTGTAATGAAAATTCTTTATGTAGTGTGCAACGCAAGTGTTCATGAACTGCTCCTTTAAGAATGAATCTCTTCCCACAGTAGTGGGGTTTTGTAGTAAACAAGTGCAAGAAAGATTAGAAAGTCAAATCATAACTATGGTATTATTTCTGACCTGTGGGTCATTTGAAACATGTATATAGATGTATGTATAGGGAAAAAAGCTACAAAATATATTTAAAATAATTTCCTTAAGTATTCAGTTATTGGATAATAATAATAATAATAATAATAATAATAACAATAATAATAATTCTACACTACTAATCAGTGTTTAATTATTATTTTACTTTTCATAGCTTTATAATATTGAAGTAGTGCCTTAAACCCAACTCACGAATCACAGATTAGAAAATGTGGTAGCTTTCTAATTCAAATCTGAGTGCTGGAGATCTTTATGTTCTGCTGGTTTAGCATTATTTTCTATAAGATGACAGTACTGGAGATTTTGAATTTGAAATTTTCTGTTATTTCCTTATTTCAAAGGTAAAAGGCTTAATGTAGTTCAGTTTTCCAAGTGCCATGTCCTGGTTATCTACACACAGTTTGGCTTTGCAGCAAAGGCAATATTTTCCACAAGCCCAGGATTCAGAGTGCAGTAGCTCAAACACCATTGCTCAGAGGACAATAACAAGCTCAAAACCTGCACAGTGTTTTTGATGAGTTGGTAGCAGTGATCTCACCAGGTTTGGTTCAAGAGCTTTACTGTGCCCTGTGGGAAGGCTCTGGCCTTGCTTCATGTTTTACCTGTGGCAGTGGCTATTGTTAAAATGATCCAGCTAATCATTACTATGTCTTTGAAGAGACATCTACTGACATCAGGTACTTAAATGATATATTAATATTTATTTTGTCGTAGCATATGTAAACCCAGGGAAATAATACACGTTGTCTGTCAGTCTCAAGGCAACACCACTTTTGAAAAGCAGAGCATGCCTTCATCACCAAGTGAAATGTAACTAAAAAGTGTGGGGTTGGAAGCATCTTTTTTGTAACTGGTTTTTAAAAATGTTATCTTCAGCTATAGAAAAGTTATAGCTCATATATATATATATATCTATATATATATAGATACACACACACACATATAGCTGTTCAAGTATTTGAGCAGGAGGACTTTCTGGGTCTTGTTGAGATAGTTCCTGTATGTGCAGGGAACCAGTTTTCAGCACACAGTACCTTCAAAGGTTTGAGCAGCTGGCCTGAGAGCCAAAGCTTCCCTGTTCCTCCTTTTGGCACAGAAGACACGAGAACTGCATTGGTTCTGGCAGGCTGGTGTCCCTCCCACACCCAGCACTGCAGCAGACCCCAGGGAATGTTGGAAACAAGGATCTCCAGCACCACTTAACATTCACTGCCCTGGAATTCATTTGCTTGTGCTAGAACCTCAGGTCTTGATTGTTTTCTGTATTACCAAATCCTCCTTTTTCTTCATATTAAAAAAAAGTACGGAATGGAAGAAAATCATTAAAACAGTTAAAAATTATGTCCCGTACTCAAGAATTCTCCCTAAGGGATCCTCACAGTCTTATTTATACAGAAAATAAACTGTTCTAATCTTTGATATGAACACAAGACTATTTTCATGCAATTCTGTTCAGAGAATTAGTAAGCAGCATCTTGTAACTTAGTGTCCCAAACGTCTTTAAAGTTTGGACAAGAGCTTAAGAATTAATAGATTTTCAAATGGTGAAATGCTGTAATTTATTGTCTGCTGTTTATTCTGTCTCAAAACCCTTTTGTTATTGGTATGAATTACTGATATTAGCTCCGTCATTCCTCAGGTTTGGATATATATTATTACTCCTGAATGAGAAAAGCAACTTAAAATATTTGTTTGAAAGTGAGGTTAAAAACCACAGGTAGTCGAGGAGGAGGAGGAGGAGGAGGAGTCTTCTTAAAAGAAATTAATTTAAAAACCCACTAGCAAAGACAAAAAAGGCAGATATAACTTGAAAAATGACAATTTTAGTATAATTATAAATGAAAGGCAAAGTGCTATTAAAGTTAAAGCAATATTATTAAAAGATGTGCTAATTTTCAGTTAAATTTTCTGTAGAAGACCAATTAGTTTAAAAGACATGACAGCATTAACTGCAAAACATAAGCACTCTGGTAATTATACTTTAAAAATGATTGAACAAATGGGAAAGCATCCTTGAAACATTTGAAAGAGCTGCACTACAATTCCAAAGCAATGGCTAGGTGGCACTGCTAGCTCAGATATCTGTGTCATTATTTCCTTGCTATTTACTCAGTTTCAGTGTCTATGATGCATTTCTTTTTTCCTGTGTTTAGAATACACCTATTTCATATTCTCATTCCGGATGCTGATTAAAGTGGGATCACACACATGTCTAATGTGGGAGTTGGTTAATGACAAGAGCAAACAAGTATTTCTTCAGTTTTGATTTTACACTCAACAAAAGGGATTCTTTTCCATCACTGGAAAGTGCCTTGTTACTTTAAGTACAACAGCACCTTTCCAAAGACATTTTGTAGATCAGTTTCTTATAAGTACTGGCATATTCAGGCCATGTACCCTCCCACAGAGCAAGTAGAAGATCACTCTCAAATTAATATCAGTGTATTATTATTCTATAGGAAATGGATATCAGCTAGTTCAGCTTTTCAGTGTTCCCCTAGTTCCAAACTGGCAAGATGTTATAAGGAGTCTGATTTTTGTGACAATCAGAAGCATGGGCAGACAGATTTTTCTTGAGTGCTAAATACTTTAGTACAGAAGGAAGCAACCCTGTTTAGCAGAAGGTGAGAAGTTACAGCTTCCTATTCACCCATGTTTTTTTGCTTATGGTTGGACATTTTCTGATCAGATACAATGCTGCGGCAATTTGTCCTGAAACTTGGAATCTCTTCTCCCAATGACTGCAAAAAACCAAAAAAATAACCAAACAAATCCAACATCTTTTGGCTGCACTCATCCATCTGATTGAATGGTGCTATCCACATCAGTCATGGTGTGAAACCCAAATTAAGCCATTGTTCCACAATAAATGCTGCTTCCTTTGCTAATAAGGGTCTTAGTTTTGCCTTAGAGGTACAGCACGGTGGAAAGAGTTGCCAAAGAGGGCGACTGATTTCATCTCAGGGACAACAAGGAAGCAGTAATTGAAAAATAAACAATCATGCCTGAATGTCTTCTCTCTCTCACAGTGGCAATTCCTATTAAACATCATGTAATCGCTCCAGACTTACATTCCTGCAAGGGGTCACATTGATTTTTCTATAAGTTAAGAGAGGTTTGAGTATTACACTTGAATTGTTACCCAGTGCATCCACATGTGTAAGAGCTGATTTGAGATTAGCTGTTGTTTTAGACTGGCTGAATCTTCGTGAACCTCTGCTCATGTCAGACTACTCCTTACAATATGCTTTGTGGTTAAAATATGTAGTGCCTTATCCAGGTTAACTTAAATAATTGGAGTTGATGAGATGCAAATATTTGCTTTAGGGCATGTATAACAGTAAGAATATGTTCCTCTCATTTTAATTTAGTCAACAGGTGAATGGCATATATGCCTATGTAAATAAACAGAGAAGCTTGAAGTTAGGAAACTTCAATGTAAAGTGAAAAACATTGCTGCGTAGAACTCATTTTCTTCTGTTTTATCTGTCATCTCCAGCAAACAATGAAACTGAAGTTTCATTATACAAAGAAAGAATATCAAAGTAACATGGATAGGAAGCCAGTTCTGCTTTTTGATCTCAGGATAAAATATTTCAACCTCTACCTCAGTTTACCCATGTATTAAATACAGTTGCATTATATGGCTAGAGCAATGAATTTCATTGAAAAGTACTATTTAAAAAAAATAAAAGTCTTTAGGCAGCAAGCACTGTTGGAGAATTCACTATTCATTTTTACTTGGATGGATTACAGACATTTGTTCTAAGTCCTAAATTCAACAAAATCCAGAAATCCAGTAATGTCAATCCTGTGTACTCTACAGTGAGTTCATTTTTTCCTTTTATGTTCCCTGCACTTACAAAGCTTCTGAAAACTCAGGCACTGGTGACATTATAAGTGACAGTCTTTCCTTTTTTTTGTTCAACTCTTTTTTTTTTTGCCCACTACAATACATTGCAGATGTTTAACTGAGTATGTCTGAACTATACCAGTATACTTTTAAGTGAACTTGAAAGTCATTCATCTGGATTTAAATTAATATTTTAAATACCCATTGTTTGCCTGACAGACCAGCAATGCTACAGATGCTGGCAAAATGTCAGTGTGGAGTAAATCTTCCCTAATAAACCACACTTACCCTATACCCTAGAGTTTTTTAAAAGGACCACCAGGATCCCAAACTCATCATACATTTATCTGGAATGAACTCAAGATGTTTAATTGATACATGCTTATGTAGGAACACTGTCAAGTCTCGTAATAAGATGTTTAGTACAATACATCGGTTAGACTGCTAGAGTCCAGCCACAGTAATAAGTAATGACATTTGCAGCACAAAGGCAGCTCCCCAACGAATTGGTGACAAGAGTAAAAAGGCAATCTAGCCTGTGTAAGCTTTAAATGTGGTCTGAATTTTACAATTACATGTCCTAAAGCCCATTATTAGACATGAGGGCGATGAGAAGGAAAGCAGTCATTGCATCACTACTAACACCAATTATAGGAAACATAAATCATTCAAATTTTTGTACTTTAATAAAAATCAGCCTGAATTGGTGTTTAAAAGGAAGGATCTAGTATAGGAGCCTAATGGGATAGAAGAAAATAGAGTAATTGGAGGCTGCTGTCTTTTCACTTTCTATATAAAATTATTTGAAGAGACAGCCAAGAACTTTAAACAGCAGAAACCCGGAAAAGTTGTAATTTGGATGTCTTCAGTTGTGACTTTAATGGTGTTTGCTTAAAGAGCTTTCTTTTATCTCTGCAGACATACTTCAATGACAATATCCTCACACTGATACGGACATTGGTAACAGGAGGAGCCACACCAGAGCTGGAAGCACTGATTGCTGAGGAAAATGCATTGAGAGGAGGTTACAGCACGCCCCAGACACTTGCAAACAGGGACAGGTGTCGAGTTGCTCAGTTGGCTTTGTATGATGGGCCATTTGCAGACCTAGGGGTAAGATCATGAGGGAAATGCAGGACCAAGGCTGGTCTGTGCTCTGCTAGCTTTCTCTCAGACTGAGTGAGAAATCTATCTCAATAAGTATATAATTTCTATTATTGAATTTAATAGAGCTTTTGGATTGTTTAAAAATTTATAGCATGGAGTGCCAGGTTTGCTCTTTACCTTTTTAAGAAGCTATATGACTGCCCAGGATTCTTGCCTGCATATTCATACAGAAAATGCTGTGGCTCTTCATTGTCAGCTGAAGAGATAGATGAGCTGATGATATAACCATTATAGCAATAATGAATTCTAAATATATTCAATATGTATAGATATACCTTTTTTGGGTTTTGATAAGCTTATTTATTGTTTTCACAGAGCTTCTAGTTCTTAAAATCTGCTTATTAGCTTGAAAACAAAGTTGTAAGGTTTGGTTTCTGCTGGTTTTGGATGAACTGAAATTCTTATGAAATCCTAATTTTCTAATAATTTGACTGCACTGTTCTAAGGATGAAGTCAAAAAACAAGCAAAAAAATTTCAAACCCCAAACCAAATAAATGATCTTTTAAAAATAATGCATCATATAAAAATAAAATATCTAGAAATGTTTTCTGGCCACATTTTGAAATCTTGAGGTAATCCCAAAGCACCCACTCTGCTTTGATGATGATGATGTTGTATTTATGTTTCTTAAATTAACCCTGTGTTGACCAGCTCTGTCCCAAAAGAATGGAATTACCTTCTTCACAGAAATGACAGGGAATCCCAGTTTAAGGATTAGAGCAAGAGTACACAGATAGAAGCCTACAGCCTTTCAGCTGATGTAGTAGTGTAGCTGCAGCTGAGACTAGAAGCACATCAAAACTCTTTGGCATGCAGCTTAACATTTCCACAAATACAATAAGCAACACCCATCTTTTGAATTTCCAGAGCCTCAACTGCACTACATCTATGAAGGCAGAATGCATTAACTCTCATGATTACTTAAGACTTGCTATTTTGGATATACAAATGAGCAAATCTAAACTTACTTTTTTGCTAATCATACACTTAGCCATTATTTTACAGCAGTAGATATTTTATTATCCTTTTGAACCCATAGAACTCTAATTTCTGTGTGCTCCTCATGAGTGTTTTTTGGTCTGGATGACAGTATGACTGCTGCCAAGAAAGGGTGAAAGATACTAACAATTCTAATACCACAGTAATATAATTTGTAGAACTTGCATTGTCTGGTACCAAAATTTAGATTTCCAGCTTAAAACAAATCACTCACTCTTTCCAATTTGCCATTATTTTATGGACCAAGGCTCTCCCAAATAACAGTCATCACTTTACATGGTTACTTATTTGAAATAAAACATTTAGATTATTCATTTCCTTGGGTAAAAGGCTCTCATTTGAGACAAACAACAGACTGTCTATACATTGTCTTTTTTTTAAATAAGTTCATATTGCATGACTTGTTCCCTGACATTGTGTTAACAGAGAAAAGAAAGGAAAAAAAATGTGCTGTTCTCTTTTTTTATTTAATCTCCTCTCTTTCCTCTAGGATGGAGGTTGTTATGGAGATCTGTTTTGTAAAGCACTGAAAACATACAATATGCTTTGCTTTGGAATTTATCGATTAAGGGATGCACATCTAAGTACTCCCAGCCAATGCACTAAACGGTGAGTCTGGTCTTTCAGAACATCTCTGCTTCACTGCTCTTCAGTCTTCTCAGCAAGGAAAAACCCAGTGCCTTTAGTAAATATAAAAAAGACCTTGCTCCATTTTTGCATAACTTTTCCACAATCCTCTTTGAGGATATTACCATGATTCTATCTGACTTTAAATCATAAGCTGGATATCACAGCGTAAGTTGTCAGCTGATTTTATTCAAAATTTCTAAATTAAATTTTCAGAGTGTATCTTTAGCTTGTTTGCTCTATGCTGATCCACTGTTTGCCTGCAAGGAAAGGACTTCAGCTTCCTTATATCAATCAACTCTAAGTTGTGGGATAATAATTTAAATTACAGTAGCTAGTCTTTTTCTGAATGCTCAAATAATACTCCTGTGGGCTTCCCATCAGTACCATCTGTGTCTAAGCATAATTTCTTCCAGTAAATGGAAGCCCTTCTCTTGGTAGACTACATTTTTACTTCAGTAGCACCAAGCCTGACCTTAGTGCTTTAAATAGAGCAGACACATTTCCATCTTTGCAAACTGAAGGCCATTTAGCAGCTTGCTTGAAATGTGTCTTAATTAAGTGCTTCCTAGAAATACACACACAGACCCATACCAGAAGTATCACAAATCTACCATCTGTTACTGTTTCATGCTCTACAGAAAGCATCATTATTGGGTGAACATGGCAATAAACAGCACTGCAGCCCACCAAAGCAGCTTCTTCTGTAAGAATTTGAATAAATTGGGTAGAAAAATTGAGTTGCAGTTTAGATTTACACTGTAGTTACTATACTTGGGATTATTTGTTGGCTTAATAAGGGACCTCTGTCCCTGAAGCAGCTAAGCAGATTTCTTATGAGCATTGAATTAATTTGAAACGAAGTCATGAGCTTCATGTTCAATTTTTACTCATTTCTTGTTTGGACAGAAAATGCCTATTGCCTCGCTCAAGTCTGTTTTTCACATGCATGAAAAAATTTAGCAGCTGCTCTATAAGTCCTTCATACCCTGAAAGGCCATTAGGTGAAGGTGGGGATTCTTGAAATTGAGCAAGTTTTTATTTCAGGCCTGGGATTTGTACTAAGCAATGTTGGATTCTTGGATGTGCAGATTTCTCTTTATAAATGCTCTTTGAGGCTATGAATGTACATGTGGAGTGAATGAACAAAATTAACCTCGCTATAAAGTTATTGATGTATTTTCCTTAACTTGTTTTAACTACAGTCACAATCCAAACCAATAATTATATCCCTTGTTCTACTGACTGTACTTAAATATTTAATAACTATGTAAATATGTATTTAAATGTGATATGTATTTAAATATATATTTAAATAAGCTGCATGTGAAATCCTCCTCTGTCTGCTTTTCAGCCATTCTTTTAAATACTGTTTGTGGTGGGTGTGTTACTGTTTTTTGTCAATATATAAGTATATTTTCTAGGGTCATTGCATTATGGTGCAACCAGAGAAAGAAGCATGGTTAGTATGGTGGTTTCCTCTGAAAAATCATTTTAAGAATCACTTGAAGAACATAATTCTCAGGCATTATGTCTGTCTGACAGAAAACATAAAAAAAGTGACAGCTGGCTTAAAAAGATCCTAAACCATAGTGGGAATTATGTGAGCTAATATTAGGTACAAACAGAAATTGAAAAATTGGACTAAGTGTTCCTGAGCTAACAACTCTAGAAGAAATTTCTATTATAAATCTAAACCTGTTTTCTTTTTTTCTTTTTTTTTTCTGTTCTGTCTTCCTTTCCAGTTACGTTATCACAAACCCACCATATGAATTTGAGCTTGTGCCGACGGACTTGATCTTCTGTTTGATGCAATTTGACCACAACGCTGGCCAGTCCCGAGCCAGCCTTTCTCATTCCTCCCATTCCTCCTACTCTTCCAGCAAGAAGAGCTCATCAGTTCACTCTATCCCATCAACAGCCAACCGACCGAACCGCACCAAGAGCAGAGATTCCCGGGACAAACAGAAGTATGTGCAGGAAGATAGACTTTGATATGTGTATCTACTCCCACTGTGTGTGAAACTTGCATTCACCACCCATTCTCCCCGGTTAATGTTTCCAGCAGTAATGTTCCCTGTTTTCCCATGGAGTTCTCCCTTTTTGTACACATATTTTGCATATGTATGACAGTGTGCATGTGATTGTCATTTTTATTTCACCACCATAAAACCCTTAAGCACAACAGCAACAAAGCAGACGGACCAAAAGTTATTTATGATGCTAGGGGAGAATAAAAAAAGAATTCCAAACCCATAGGCACACTGAAAACATAAATAACTCACTGCAGTTACTCTACATATCTGAAAATAGAGTATATTTAACATGAACACTTGCTCTTGATGTCAGAGTTACACAAAGAAAGTCATTTAGTGCAGAAGTGTTGATGTATGTTGCAGTAGGTTTTTTTTAATACTCATATTTACAGGAGCTCATACATTTATTTGAAGCTTATAAAACTCTCCTATTGAAAAAAAAAAAACCCAAAAAAAAACCAAAACAAAAACCATGCAAAAAAAAAATCCCTGCTGATTTTTCACTCTCAAAGCTTATATTATATAGGGCTTACACTCCTTGTATATATTATTGCTAAATATCTGCTTTATACCAAAGCAATATCAGGGACTTTTCTGCTTGTTTAAGAGCTTTCTCTAAAATGCTAGTCTTTTGGAGATGGTGTATTTTCCCTTTAACACTGAAATTGTCGGGGCATGAAGTTTTACAACTCCAATGGTTTAATTTAAGTTTAGAAAGAGTCTAATTGCATATTAAATTATTATTCTGTCTATTTATATTGCCACATGAATAGCTATATTTTCTTTCACTTTTGACATTTGGGATAAAAAGCCATATGTATCATAAATATTGGATGTAAGTCATTAAAAACTGCCTTCTTGGGACTTTTACGTCTTTAAAAGGTGAATTAGTCACCTTATGTACAGAATAAATAATGTTCAGAAAAGAGCAAGCATTTTTCTGTGCTTACATATCAGATCTCAAGGGACTTTGTTCCTTTCCCCAGATGGTAGTTTAACTTTTCCAAGTTAGTGTTCGTATAAATCTTCCAACAAGAGTCCTATGTGAAGAACCTCCAGAAATCTTGCTGCATGTTCCACCTGTTTTTTTCAACAGGTGCATGCCAGTATGCAGGAATACAGGGAAGACAACTGAGTGCCTTTAAGTCTCTCCCATGTGGGGAGAAAAGGTGCTGTGCCCCAGGCTGTTAATGAGGAGAAGAAGAGGGCTGGGCTGGAAATATTCACAGTGCTGAGGTGTTGTGTTCCGTGCACTTGCCAGAATTTAGTTCTTGCAAATTGTCACCCATGACACATGTAGCCAAAAAAAGTTGTGGCAGGGAACTAAATATAGTGAAAGGAACCTGCCCTAGACAGCCATAGGAATGATAGTTCAGGCTTGCTTTTACTTTTTTTTTTTCTTGGTTTAAACTTCAGAAGCCAATGTATATTTTGAAATATACAGCCAGCTCTAGGTTTATGGAGGGTTTCCAAGGGTAGGGAGGGCAGAAACACATCCCCTCTTCCCTGGCTATCCAGCAAGAAAGCATGCAGACAGAAAAATATTTAGATTTGGAATGATTAGCATTGTAACTGCCAACCCAATCAAGGTGCTTTTATGGTTAGTTTTGTCTTCTACCTTCCCCTTCCCCAAGCATGACAATTTTGAAGATTTGCTTGCTGTGTGAATTGACAATAAAGCCAAGCACTTTTACTGACAAAACCTGGAACTGTGTAAGTGGGCTACAGAGAATACCACTGTGCAGTGCTAAGCATAATGATTGGAATACAGTCCATAAGTGTGAGTGTGCATTCAAACGCAGCTGTAAGTCCAATCAGTGAAATACATTGCAAATTATGGTTGCTCCCCTACAAATGAGACTATTACAGTTGCTCTTCATCATAAAGAAAAATTCACGTGTTCCTTTTTGCAAAGAAAGTTATCATGTTTTGCCCTCAGAATATTTATTGCTACAAGGATGTGCCAGTTAAAGTGCTCAACCAGAAATATGACAGTTTAAAAGCATTGTAAAACTTACATAGCTTACTTCTTTTTCTAAAGTGCAACAAGGATGAATAGAATGGGCCAAGGTATGAAAATTAATGGTTCTGCATGACCTAGCAACTGCTGTGGGTTTCCCTCTATAACTTTGTCCTTGTGAAAACTTGTGAAATTAAAAAAAATAGTTACAAACTTTATTCAGTTATTGGTTTGTTTGTTTGGTTGATTGTTATGTTGGTTTTCTTTTGCCTTTTTTTTCCCACCAAACCAGAAGTAAAACTGGCTGCTGCTGCTGCTGCTGTTTCTCAACCCTGTTTTGTTTTTTATCCTCTCATCTGCTTGCCTTTCTAATTGCACGTGTCCTTTTGTAAACACCCAGGTTCCTGCTCAATGAAGATGCCTATCGTGATGCAGACATTACTTTAATTTCCCATTTTCCTCATCCAATTTCTTTCCGACCTTCCCCTCCCTACTTTCTTATTCCCCGTGTATGTACATGAGCATCTTTTTATGTTGGCAGAATTGATTGAAGATAGTTGAGAGCAGTTACACATTTTGGAAGAATGTTAATGGCTTTGACACCAAAATGCTTTTCCATTAATGTTTTATCTGTTTTCCATTTAGCAGAGAAAGGGAGGGTGGTAATATGAAGCCACTTGTCACATGCTACATAAAGATTTTTATCCAAAAAAATAGTATTTGTATAACAGAGCAGCTCAAATAGAAAAAAAAAATATAAACAATGTACATTAGAGAAGTAACTTGCCTACTTTGTGAACAGCAGAAGAGCAATATCTATCTAACATGGGGAAAATCTGAATTCTTCAAATTACATTGAAGTCTACTCCAACTCTGTCCTCTATCCTGAAGTTAGAATTCTAAAACTTTTGACTTTTAGTGGTGTTGTTTACAATTTCCACTGCTGACTATAGTCAGATTGATCAAATACTTTATTATAGTGATGAAGGTTTTCTGAGATGAATGCACTAATGGAGGTTGGTCGTTATAAGTAGAGAAATACTTTCTGTTGGTGTTTATATTGAAAAGGAAGAGGAAATCTCCTGTTTTATCCCAAGTCAGCCAACCACTGCAGAATGGTAGAATAGTTTTTGAAAGTGGAGAAGTATCATCAATGTCAGGATGTTATATTTTAGGTTTTTAAATGAAGGTCCTGCCATTTATATCAGTCCCGGCATGGTTTCAGCATTGGAAACCAAGTCCATAGTGAGATTAAGTGTTGACACAAAACCATGTCTAGCAAACCTGCAGGTTTTTGGCATTGACCTAAACAGAGAGAGTCAGGCATTTTCCAGTGAAATTCCCATTGTCAAAACTAAGAATTTTGGTAGCTTAAAAAATAAAAAAATCAAGAACAAATCCAGAACATTATCTTTGTCACAAAATTTTAGTTGGCCTGGAGGAACATAAAGTTCTTAATAGAAAAATAGTTTATTCTCTCTTTCCCTGCAAATTTCTTACTGCCTGCTACATGCAAAATATTAATCTGCCAAACACAGAAGTGCTGAGCAGGTGGGTGGAGAAACTTCCAATACTTTTCTTTCTCATACAGGAACAAATTACATGGAATAATTTTCAGCTTAGTTATAAACAAGATGGTTACATGCAGGGAGGAGACACACAAACACATACATGCAAACTAATTTGAAACTGCAAGTGACACAGAAGACAAAAAATGCATGTTTTAAACAGTTGAAAGATAACCTGGGATTATGGTGAGAATACAAAATTATGGTGAGAATACAAATATAGCAAAACCTTTGTGTTATGTTTGGGTAGTACTTTCTTTGCCTCTATTTAAGAAGAGGGGGTGTTTCACAGTGACATTTGCTCTAAGTTTCTACTCAGTCCAAAATTAATGATAGAAATTTTAAAGTACTAGTACAGTAAATCTCTTGGAGACAATTGCTTATACAAGTTGAGGAAAACTGTATTTTGATATTTTTACTTTGATTATTTATATCCTTTTTTTATGCTGTGGGGATGATTGTTACACAAAACCATTAATTTTTATTTATTTGTAATATCAGCATTAAGCCTTTTGAACCCTCATGGATGCACTGATGCTGATAGGCCATTACAAACATAGATGTTTGAGAGGAAAGTGTTTTCTGCTGTCTGATACATTCAGTTACTAAGCTGTTCCAACATCTCTCAGGTGATGCTGTCAAAAAGAAGCCTGTCAAATAGCGTAGGAAGATCAGGGACTTTTTTAGCAGCTCCTGAAAAAATAAGGTAAAAAACTATACCTGTTGTCACTATAATGTAGAAACATTTCTGGTAAGGATCAATATGCATATTCCAAAAGGGAGAGAAACAGACTCAATATGACAGAGAACTTAAAAGTGCTTGGTGAATATAGCAATAGATAAAGACTTTAAAAAGGGGGTTTCTGAACTGATGTAAAGGAAAAAGTAAATATTAAAGATAACAATCTGTGCTAAGACTCTGGAAGACATACCAAAATCAGGCTGTAAACATAGCATAGAAGACTGAAAAGTGTGTAGGGGCTTCAAGAAGAACATTTAGTGACTGGGAGCAGACTATCATAGTGTCCAAGAGTAAAGATCAGGAGTGTTGAGCTCGCATTTCAAAGGTAAGTAGAGAGGTCCATGAATTTGCACAGGCGATTTATTGTTATGTGGTCAGTGATAATTTTGACAGCAGAGGGAAACAGGAAAGGTATAAAGCTGGATCTAAACGTTGCATGCTGGAGAATGATAATACTTTGGTCAAGGTTTCAGCACTGGCAAAAAGAAATCTAAACAGCAAAAGGCATTAGTCTACAGCTTCTGCATTTATTATTAATGTTCTGTATGTATTACTTGCCAGGTAAAGGCAAAAAGAGACTGGGGGGTGTCTTTTTTAAAGGACAGCTCCCTATACAGGAGTTCTATTGTAAATTTAACACATAAATAAATTGCTTATTTGGAATATTTTAGGGAAAGCTGGGTATTCTGAAGTGCTTTACACTGGCTACTGAGAAACACAACACAGTTCTAATTCTTAGCACTCATGCAAGCCTCCCCTTACTTGCTACAACATTGAATTAACTTGCACCAAGTTCTGTTTGTAAGAAAAGTTTTTGCACTGTGTGTTAAAAAAACAAGGTAGCAATGAAAGTTCACGGTGCTTAACTTGCCTCAAAATCATTTTAAACACAAACCATTAGAAAACTGTTAGTTTGAAATTGTTTATGTGATCTCACAAGGCTTTTAAAACATGATAACCATCACACTTTACACCTCTCTGAAAGGTTAGTTTAATCGTAGATCACATAAAATTGGTTTCCACAAATGCATAATGGTTCATGTGTCACACTTGAACTAAATGGTTTTTTAAATGGAGCTGAAATTATTTTGATGTGTACACATTCCCAGACTTCTTTTTCCTACAACCTTTCTTAAACCGGCCCCCATCAGGAATCATTCCCTTAAAGTCTCATTAATAATTCAGATGTTCTGATTACTTTAAAAGATCTATGGAATTGAGGCTTTTTTTTTTTTTTAACTGCTTGACAAAAAGATAAATGAATGTAGAAAGAAACGGTAGGAGTCTGGCAAGCTGTAGATCATCTCTGAACAGATTGTAACTTTATCATTCTGTCAGGAAGAATAATTTAAAGCACTTAATCAGTTAGCTTCAGTGTGCAGGATGTAACATTATGAATTCCTATCGTCCAATCTGTTCAAATCAAAGGGAACTTAATTATAATAGGTGAGAGAGAGGGAGATGGGAGATTGAGCATCGTTCAGACTCAGGCACCTTTAAGGGGGCAGGGAATTATTTAGTCTGGTCACAAATGAGTAGGATATTTTTAAACACAAGTGAAAAGCATTTTAGAAAATTACAAGAAAAACAATACAGTAGTTCCATTTCCCTTTAGTAATAAGCTATTAATAAGTAACACCATTCCTAGATTTAATTTTTTAAAACATGTGTAAGAATGGGTAGCAAAGGTTTTAATGGGGAGTGGGGGTTTGGCTTGTAAATTCTAAAAATCCATATAGAGTAAAAGTGGTTTAATTTGTTATTCATTAAAGTGACTGAAAAGTCCAGTAATTCTGGAGATTAAGCTACTTCTTGAGAGACTCTAACTCCAAAGGTCTTTGTTTATTTTTGTGCTGTTATGTCCAGGTATTTTTCCTCTCTTTTTCTCAGCCTTTCAATTTCTTTTCTCTCCTTTACATCCTGAGCTTTTGTGCTCAATCCTTGGGTTTCTAAGGTGAATTTTTCTCTGCTAATTTTGAATAATTTATTTATTAAAAAATGAGCATTCTTTCCACTTCTGTGCTGATTCCAGGTACTGCAGCATTTCAGTGGTTAGAAAAGTAGCAGTTTCTATTATGTGAGGCACTAAAGCTTCAGCAGCATTTTGCATTCCCCATTGGAGTGAGAAGTAGTGCATACATGTAAGAGTAGCAGCTCTGGTGTGACACACTTTGAACCTTGCATGTAATAATGAAATGCCCAGAACCATAAGTGTCCACTGCTCTGCCCACCCACCTCTGGAATCTGGGGAAGGAGGACAAGAAAGGAGACAGAACTCTGTTCACAAATGCTGGTCAAGGCACAAGTACACCTAATGTGCACTTGTGCCTTGACCAGCATTTGTGCATCTCTAGATCAGGAGTTCCCAAGTCCTGGAATAAAGTTCTCTTGTAAGGTTGCATACCTGTCATTGAGAAATTACTGCAGAAGTTGCTGTAATTTTTTTTTCTTTTGTGAATTTTAAGAAGCTTTTGTCCATACCTGCAATGGAGCAGTGCAACACAGTGGTTACAGGGCTGAACAGCTGGGAAGGGCTGCAGTGCTGCAGCCTCTCAGCATCCTCCCACATTGCTCTCAGCCCACCTTAAAGCCACACCATAAAAATTCCTCCTGTGTTCATGGAAACAGGCATTGCTCAAGGGTAGAAAAGAAAGAGCTTCCTCTCTAATTTTCCTTTAAGTCCTTACTTCCTTTGCCTTGATGTCACCAGGACTGAGCCATTCAGGATTAGCTGGAGTCCCTACCACAGTCAGCTGCAGTGTTCCCCACCCCATTTTAAACCCTGGCAGCAGGAATACAAGTCCTGGTTATTGTAACACCAACTGCAGAAAGTGTTTAATGTTCTCCTGCATGATCTTCTGGGCTGCCACCCCAAGGCTGAAATGGTTCAGAGAAGTCTCTGACTCTTTAGGTGCCCCTGTGTATAGACTCACATGCTCTTTTCTGTATTACCCTTATCCCACCTGCTCTCCTTGGCTTCTTAATTTAGACTTTGATTTGTATCTTTTTCTTTTTTCAATAAATGAATCACCTGAGCATGGGCACAAGAAAAGAGCTCTCTTACATCCAACAAGCAAACTAGCATATTGGCAGTTTTCTTTAGCTTCTATTATCAAATCTGCAAGCATCATCCTCCTTTCATAACAGCATTTTCAGAAGTATTAATCTAATGCACTGTACTGCTAGTAATTGGTCAAAGTCACCTTCTATTGATCTCTGTTTTCTATAAACTTTACTGACTGCTCCCATTTTCTTTTTTTTTTTTTTAATGTTTCTGTGTATGTGTGCTTCACTAATTAACACTTTCATTTTTCCCTCCTTATTCTGTCTCTACCTGTTTTGCTCCTTAGCAGAAAAGAAATGGTTTACAGATGAGCCGGATAATGCCTATCCCAGAAACATTCAAATCAAGCCCATGAGCACTCACATGGCCAATCAGATCAATCAATATAAATCGACAAGCAGCTTGATACCACCAATACGAGAAGTTGAAGATGAATGTTGACTCCTTCGAAGCCAGAACTATTTTTATAAAGCCTGACAAACTTCATGAATGGTGATGTGACATTTATTCCTCTTACTTGCTGAACCACTGATGGAGAAGTTAAGAAGGGCACGCTTAATGGGAAAATAAAGTAGACAGATCTTTGTTTGTCTGCCTTTGATATTGCTTCCACGTATTTTGGAAACTATTTCATTTATAAATGAACATAATCAAAACTAGTCATGTATAGCCTCTAGCATTTTAAATTATTTTTATTTATTAGAAAAAATATATTTTTCTTTTTTTTTTTCATTGTTAAGTATTTTCCCTTAAGAAAATGGCATTTGTGGCCAGACTCCTAAGAATTAAAAAAATAGCAAACCCTCAGTCTTTGGCTTAAAGGAGAATGATGGTCACAGTTATAAGGATATGTAATTAAGGGAGACAAATGATATATTTACAAAAAGGAAAAAAAGGTCCAACTTGTATTTTAGTAAATCAAAAAAAAAAAAAGAAGGAAAAAACGTACACTTCACCAAAATGTTTCCTTACCAGAAGATGTGTATTTTGTTCAGCATTGACACCAGCTCTTAATAAATTGAACTTATTTATTTTCAGAGTTGAAAGTCATATTTTTATACATGTAACATTCTTCAGAAATATTCTTTGTTTTATTAACATATATAGATCATCTTGACTGCCAGTTGTGTGAAGAACCCCCCAGGCTGTGCCCTGCCCCTTCTCACGGTGGCACCCACAGACACCCAGCACCCTCGGGAGCACGCTGTGACACAGCCTGTGACACAGGCACAGGGAATGTCACCACCCCAGCAAGGCCGTGGTGGGCACTTGCTAGAAATGGCAAATTTGGCAACTGCACTTCACTTCCCATTAGCCATCAGCAGCTGCTAATTTCTGGAGGCAAGCTTGACAATTCTTCTTCTTTTGCCATTATTATGGTGATTTAATCCAGAGTGCATAAAATAGTGCATGGAAGCATCAGTTATACACCATCTCATCCACCACATTTTGTTAGTTCCTCACTTCGAAGTGCTGATGGCCTGTCATTGGTCTGAGATGGTACAAATTCTTCCTGATATGTATAAAGATTTAGCTCCAGATCCTTGCACTTTAGTAAAACTCATACCCTGGTAAAGGGCACGTGGAATCTCTTTTTGGTTAATTCACACCAGGATAAAAACTGGTTTAGCTTCAGCTCTACAATCTCACAACGTGCTGTCCTCAGTTAATTCCTACAATAAGCAACATCTTATTTTAGCAGTTGTTTTTCTTGTTGGTTTTTTTTTCTTTTTCCTTTTATTTATTTTTACTTTGCTGGGACAACACACACAAAAGTACAGTAATAACCAAATAAAGATAATAAAAGTGATGAATGTATTTATTATGATAACATGCAAAAGGCCTTTGATGGGTGCCTTTTGTGTCAGCAGTTTCACAAAGTTGCCAACAAGCTTTATAGCCATCAGACAAAAATGTGATGTTTCATATCTGTGCTGCAGTATCCACCCACCCAAGCATTTATGTTCTAAATGATTTAGTTACTCTCTCTATCTCAAATAAGCAGCATCTGACACAATTGTGTGGAAACAAAAAAAAAAAAAAAAAAAAAAAAAAAAAGGAAAGGCTGTGATAGTAGGGAAACAAAAACCAAAACCACAAAAGCAGAGTCATCAAGAAAAGCAGATTTTCATTGTGGAAGTTAACTTTAGGCTTTGTAATTTTGCAGAATTGTTAAACACCACAATTAAACATACCGTGGTATTTTTATCATTAGAGAAATATCAGTGAATCAAACAAATACAAAGCAGATGATGAATTTATTGTGAAAACAATGATGTCCACTATGTAATCCAACGTTTAAGCCAAACTATCTCAGCTTTAATGTTTGTCCACTGGCTGCAGTACAAGTATAACCATACTAACACCTAATAGGCTTTATTCTGGAGTGACTTCTTGGACTGTGACTATTTTGTTGTTACATTTTGTAGAATAGCTATTTAAAGACAATAATGAGAATTGTTAATACAGTATCTGTAAAATTGGATCGTTTAAAATATTTCACTCTCCTACAGAGTAACAAAACAATACAATCAGTTTTTCATTATTCTTTAGATGCATGTTTAATGCATTTCACAGTCCCCAAAAGAGAAGATAATTCCAGTGAGTTCTTCCAACATATGCTGCTTCAGCTAGTGACACGTTATAATTTACATCCAGTCTCTGCATTGGGTCATGTTAAGCCTTTTCTTTGAAGTCGGTGCTCCTTTTTCCTTTATGAACTGCATTCATATTACAACCAGAGTGAAAAATGCTGGTCCTGAGTACAGGAGAATTGTAGAAATTTGGGTTCAACCTCACCAAACACATATGAATTTTAATTTCTTTTTCCTGAGCAGACTGATGTTTGCTATAGGGGCATAGAATATTATATCTTGTACCTTATCATATACAGTGCCACTGCTGAGTGTCCTTCCTTCAGAAGTGAACATTCACTGGGTAAAACACACTAATGACTCAAATAGAGCACCCCTACATTGCTAAGGTTTGTGTGTGTCTCTGTCCAGTTTAAGTCACACCCAAAATCCCATGCTACTGTTTATAAATAAAGGAAAAGACCTGAACACAGAGAGCTGCACATGCAATGGCTGATAGGACAACACCCATGGAGAGCAAACAAGACAGAGAGAAACAGGTGGAGTTATGGGTCTACATTTCCCATTTACAGAAAAGCTAAAATCAG